AAAAAAAAAAAAAAAAAGTCTTGCTGATTTACTATTTACTTACTTCCCTAAGAGCTAATCACAGACAAATACTCTTACTTATCTTTGGGTCCTAAGTGATGTTGTTTGATGCTAGTGTTGAATTGATGGATAAGAAGGAAGGGAAGGAGGACAATACCACAGTTACAGTTTGATATTATTTTGGAAGTTCTAACTAATGAAATAAGACATGATACATAAACGTCAAGAATACATATTTATTATCTATTCAAAGATGGTAATAGCTATATGAACACCTAGAAAATCCTAGAGAATTGTTCAGAAACTGCTAGAATTGACAAAAGACCTTGTAATTTGACCATGTAGAGAGTAATCATGGAGAAATCAATAGCACTTCTATATGTCTTCTAGCAAATATGAAAAAGGGACACTTTCATACTTCATAAAAGTACAAAATGCCGAGAAATCAATTTTATTGAGATGGGTTTTTTAAAACCCATCACAGAGCTAAAAGGTGATTTGATTAATTAGGGAAAAAAGATTGTATTCCAGGTAAAAATATTAAATTACTTAAAGATGTTAATTTTTGTAGAATCACTTGCACATAAGCAAGATCTTAACTTTTTTTTTGAACTCAGTGAAGTGATTTTAGAGTTCTTTACAGGATGAAATGGGTGAAAACATTGAAGTTTGAAGGTTTTTTAAAAAAGAGTTCTATTAAAAGCTCTAAGGCAAAGCAATAGACATTAAACAGTGTGATACTATATAAAAGTAGAAATGTGGATCAACAGACCTGAATAGAAAGCTTAAAAATAGAATTTCAGTATAAGTCAGCTTTCAAACACAAATGAGGAAAGAAAGCTGTGTTTGATACATGATATAGGAAATCTAACAGGCAATTTGGGAGAAAAAAGTCACTTTTTCTTCTTGAAGAAACAAATTTCAGATGATCAAAACGTTATCTTTTTTTTTTTTTTTTTTTTTTTTTTTTTTTTTTTTTTTTTTTTTTTTTTTTTGGTAGCCTAACACACCTTAGGTATGTAATAGACTCTGGTAATAACCTAGGATGAAGACAGCTATGATTCTCAGGGGGTAAGGAGGGCCAGACACATGTAGGAGTGCATCTCAGTGCTTGAAGGTCTTGTGCAGTTTGAAGAGGGCTCTGGAAAGTTCTGACACCCCTTGAAGGGGTCACTGTTCCCCTTCCCCTTCAGCAGCCTCTTCATGTGGAGAATCACTGGTTTAAAGATCATAAGAAGATATAAAAAGATGCTTTAAACGTTAGCCCTTCTTTTCCAAGTGTCATTCTTCACCTGTGTACCCCTTTCTGGTGGGGAGTCAGCTGATGTAACAAATAGGGGGAGGAGTACTGTAAAATCTGAAATAGTGGAACAGTCTGAGAGGCTGCATAGTAGTCTTAGAGGACTGAAGTGGCAAAGGACTTAGCTACCCAGGGGGATAAATGCGGATGTGATAGCCAACATAATCAAATAAACAAAAATAGAATTCCCAGAAATAGAGCCTTAAAAATGTCTATCTCCCCATATATACTTTATGGCCGGGAGGGGGGTACGTCACTGAACGCAGTATGTACAGCTGAAGAAAGAATTCCTCGTTTGGGAGATCAATCTGAAGAAAGTACCTGGAATGTAGCCCAAAGGGAAAAGAAGTTGGCAAACGAGAGAGGATAAAAGACATGGAAGACAGATTCTTAGTGCAGTTCTAGAAGGAGACATTAGAGAGAACGGGGAAGAAGAAATAGTTTGATAGTTACTAACTGAAGGTTTTCCAGAATTTGGGGCAGACTTAAGTTCTAAGAAGAAAGATGCATAGAATTCCTGAGCTAGAAGAACCAGGACTGAATTGTCTAACTCAGTGACTTATCACAGGATGTACTGTAGTAAGTCCAAGCTGAATTTAGAATAAAGGAGTAGTATGCAAGAAACAAGGACGAGTCAAGGTCGTAAATGTGGGTAAACTAAGCCTTCATATTCAAAAAACAATGGTAATGATAGTAGGGGTAATGGTGACTAATTCTGTGTGGGGTGTTAGAGAGAAGGTGAAACTAAAATCATAGCCACTAACGAGAGGATAGGGCACGGAGGTGAAGCGTGCCAGGAAAAGTAATGGAATCAAATCGGCAACAAGAAGCAAAGATACAGGACAGTTGTCAGGTTGTGTTACCGAGTACTTCTCATTATAGAACATGGTCTGGGTATTCTTATTACACAGATATATTCTATTCCACAGTGCAAGATAACCCAGAACCTGTAAAGAATTTTAGTGGCTGCCCATTAAGGTCTGTGTTGTGAAGGTAGACAGACCGATATCCTACAATTCCACGAATGTTTTTATCTTCTCCCTCGATGTCTGTTTTATTCTAAGGCTATTGTAACCTTTGTACCCTTCTGCTTCTAGATTTTCTTAGTGGAAAACAAGCAATCTAAATTTGCAGTGTTGTACAATAGCACCAGCTTTCTTGTCATTCTTGTATTTGTGTGTCTTAATGACCAGCTAATTACTCTAGGGTTTTAGCCTTCTAAAACTACAGTAATGAGACTTGAGTGCTTGCTGGGTTTTTTTTTTTTTCCCCTCCCCAGCCTCCACCCAGGCTCCTAATCCTTCTGCTTCAATATCACAAAGCTGTTGGGCTTACATAGTCACTTCTGGCTCTCTTCTCTCAGTGTGGGTTCCCATCAACCACGATTCTCCTTCCTTGTCACCGTTATTATTTCGAGTTCTCACGACTACTGACCTCTGCTGCTTTATGCTTTCTTAGTTTCCTGTCTTATTTTTTTTCCTGTTCGCTGTAAAATTTTTTTATGCTTTTGGCTTTCACAGAAAAATGCTGGTCTCCTACAGTCATCAACAACCAATTAAAATACCAATAACAGCATAACCTTCAGGTTTTTTGATTATCATTTGTGTTTATTTGTGGTGGGTTCTCATGAATCTCCTGGATTTGTTAACAAATAAGTTTTGTTTATTTCAGGTGTAAGTTGCTTTGGAAAACTGAGGGTTTCTGAAGGTTTGTCTCTGAATAGCTGTTTCATTATGAAAACCATGTTAGTAATTTTCTATAAAAACTTGAAATCTAGCTATAAGTAGGCTAATTCTGTACCCAGAAATTCTGCTGAAAAGATAAATCATACACTTAAAGATAATTAATCCTTTTGGTGGAGTTAGTTTTAAAGGCTAATGGCATTCTCTAGTAAAATATGTAAAAGCAAAACGTTTAATATAATGGTAACACTGTGATTGGCGCATGGAAGGAGCTTACTTGGCCTTTGTTGAATAAATGAGCGACCATCTAAAGAGACAGCATGCTTTCATGGAAGGAATAATAAGTGGTTGGTAGGGCACCTGGTTTCCACACGTAGTGCTGCTTTAAGTTGCCGGGAAGCAATGATTATTTTTCCCTAGATCTCCAGGCCTTCATTTCAGAAATGAAAAGTTTGGTCTAGAAGGACTTCAAGGGTCTGCCCCATTCAGATATATAAGAGTTTGTTTTCCTGTTTCAAGCATTAAATGCAGTTTAACTTTTAAACACTCAGTCAATAGTTTAATGGATTGTTGATTAAAAATGATTTTTAGATGTGGACAGATACACTGAAACCAAGTTAGCTTCTGGTTATTATTGTGCATACAGTGCTTCTTTGACTGCAGATGGTATTCCCTTATTTTTCTGCTGATCACTACGGGAACTTTTGAATATGAAAACTGAAATAAGAACTCACTTTTAAGGTTTTATGCAAAGCAAACTTAATCTAAATTACTGTCTTTCACCTGGTGTTCTGCCTACCCAGGATTACACCTGCAACCTCATACGTTCTCTGTCCTCAAATGCTGCTGGGACAGCTTCACATTCTCATTTAAGCATTTTGTAAATAAATGTTTTTTTCCTGTGTGTTTTTAGGTCAGCAGGTCAAAAAGTGCAAGATTGTTACTTCTATCAAATTTTTATGGAAAAAAATGAGAAAGTTGGAGTTCCTACAATTCAGCAATTGTTAGAATGGTCTTTTATCAACAGTAACCTGAAGTTTGCAGAGGTTAGTGATGATTGTATTTTATGTGACAGTCCTTGGTATTTTTAAGACTACTACTAGATTCGATAACTGTTAACCTTGCCCCATTGAGAACACACAAACTGTTAGCAAAACACAAATTAAAAAAAAAAGTTCAGAGTTTCAGTTGTGTCCTTGTAGAAAACGTCTTAGAATTAAGATTGAACTTTTTGGATTTTTGGTGCCTAAGAAAATATAAAACTAATTTGTAACTTGAAAACTTTTAAGTAGTGTTTAAAGCAAAGGGAAGACTTACGATTTTTTAAAAATTGTCATTCATTTTACCCAGCTTAATATGTAATGTAAACATATCAGCCAAGTATATCAAAAAAGAATGTTTACTTTTCCTTCAACAAGAGACAAATTCACTTATATTGGTCTGTTAATGAACAAGTGATAGAAATTATTTTTCTTCTGCTGTTTACTGAATATCTTCATGATCTTAGTAGTACATGCTTGTGGTTCACTTTTATTGTATTTGTTTCTGAAAGAATGTTCTGGTAAAGCTTTGAACAGTTACAGTTATCTGTTGAAATATAAGGAATGGTGTCCTTCAGTGACAACAGCTTCTTTATTGTACTTGTCAAAACAACTTTTCTTTCTTTCTTCCTCCCTCCCTCCCTCCCTCCCTCTCC